AAGTAGTCACTCCCTATTGCCCTTCCCCCAGCCCCTGGCAACCACCAACCTACTTCCTGTGTCCCTGGACTTATCTGTTCTGGACATTTCATATGTATAGAATCATTGTGTGGAATATTGAATGGAATCATGTATAATATATGACCTGTGTGTCTAGTTTCTTTTATATAATACAATATTTTTGAGGTTCCTTTGCATGGTGACAGTACAGTATTAGAAATTCATGCCTTTCTATGTTTGAATAATATTCTATTGTATAGATATAGCACATTCATCTGATGGTAGACATTTGGATTGTTTCCATTTTTTGGTTATTATGACTAGTGCATGCACGTATGTGTATTTGCTTGAGTACCTGTTTTCAATTCTTTTGGATATATAGCTAGGAGTGGAATTGCTGGGTCATATAGTATTTCTATGTTTAATGTAGAAGAATTGCCAGACTGTTTTCTTCCCTTTTCTCTCATGTTTCTATAATACAATATATTCGAGAAAATTTCTACTGTAGTACAGTTATAAGATACCTTTAGTTATGACAGGCTGTATATGTATCTGACAGCAGGGATTAGGTCTTATTTATTTGTGAATCTCCAATACCCGGTACAGGGCTGCACAGAGAAGGTACTCAAAAAGTGTTTGTAGAATTGGATTGACTATAGAGGGGTAATATGCAGTTTTATCCTTGAGGAAGATGTGGTGTATGTGGTAAGGCTGTGAATATGAGTGATGGGCTAAGTGGAGATAGGGGGTGGGTGACGTGAAGAAGACCCTCCCAACTTCTTTGGACAAAGGGAAAGGAAGACCAGTGTGGTAGAACTAGTTATCCATAGACCTGGGTTCTATTGCTGGTTTGCCTGTAACTAACTCATTATAATTTTCCGAGAAGTTCAATTCTCCTCTTTGTCAAATGAAAAGATTGAATATTTTAGTGATATTCCATTTTTTGGGGTTTGTTTTAAGCAACGGGAACTGTTTTATTCATATGAACTCACTGGTGGAAGCCCAGTATGCCTTGGTGGGGGGAAGGGCAGAGTGCAGAGCAAGGCACAGACCAGAACACAGGGCAGCCCCTATCCCTGCAGCCCCAAGACCTTGGCAGGACTCTGAGACTCAAGGTCCCAGCACATTCAGTAGCTCTGAGAGACCTCTGTTCTAGAAAGATCAAGGAAGCATGAATGCACACAAGTACATATTATTCTGCAAAAAAAGAATTTTTTCCAAGCAATAGAGGGGAGCTTAAGGATTGAGATAGCAACTTCAATGGGAAAAGAACAAAAGATCTGATGAAAAATTACAGTGAGTAGTACATTTGGTTAAAAAGGGGGTCCCCAACCTCCTTCTCACCTCCTCATACTTAAAAAGAAAAGATGTTACAGGTTGACTTCATGAACAGAATTGTCAAACGTTTGTACTCTCCTAACTGAATGGATTCCCGCTCCATGAGAGCACTTCCTCTGCAAATGTCCTGCCTGGTATCATAGCTGAATGTGTCGTTGGGCAGGCCTGGTCTGGTCCTTACTTTCTGGGTTTCCTTTTTTTTTTTTTCTCTCTCTCTCTCCTGGCAAAATGTCTTGAAAACATGCCATTTACACTCCACCCTCATGTTATCTTTTCTCTCTAGTTCTTTGCTTTCGAACTAGCCTTGAACATCGTGAGGGTTAGCTGAGGCCCCCAGACCGCTTCCTGGCACGCCTATGGCATCAACAGGCCATAACCTTTCTCTCCACCGGATTGCTGCTGATGCTAGGCTTGCTTTGGTCTTGTTCAATTTTTTTATTTCTGCTGAAGCTCATTTTTAGGCAACACTTCTGAAAACATACTGCCTGAACCTCAAAATCTCTTCTGTATATTCAGGTTGAGGCACAGACGTTATTCAGGCACTGAGACCGAAGTTGGTTTACACGGATATCTGAATTAGCCCCCAAACCATGTTGTTTTTATTGTGAATATCCCTACATGTCATCATAGAAACATAGTTCAAGCAGTGTAACTGCAAACAGTATTCACATTCCACTATTAACCCTCTTGTTCATTTTTTTTTTTTTCATTTTTATGTGAGGCTCTTCTGGAAATTCTACAACTTCTTTTAAAACAGATTTTCTGGACAATGAGTGTCCCTTTTGGAGGTAGAGCCCTATTATAAAAATAGAAAGGAAATTCAGTTTCAATATCCCTCTGATTTTACTTGCTTAACAGTTGCTTTCACTCCAAAACGGGCATGAACGTAAACACTGCAGTATTTTCACCATTTCTTTAAATGCTTTTTAAGAAAGGGAACTTACAGTTTTCCGGAGGATACCTGTATGACGTTAATCTCTCTTGCTCCGCCATGATGCTGTGGGACTAGTGGAGGATTGGATGCCGTAATCCTTTAAATAGCACTTCAAAAATGATTTAGAAAAGCTAAAGTCTGTCTTGTAAACCCCAGAACTTGTCTCAGATCTTGCCTCGATCAACTTCCAAAGTATAATGCAACGTGATTATGTTCCTCTGGGGAAACCTGTGAAACAGGTCTTTGAGCTCCATTGGATGTGTCAGAGTTTTAATTGATTCTTTACCATGTCTCTGCCCCCCCAATAGCAGTGCTAAGGACAGGACGTGTTTTATGGGAACAGTCACCCAGAGCTTGATTTGTTGTTGCGTAGTAGACAAGACTATTTCCCAATGAAATTAAATCTGTTTCGTGCCCTGAGAGTTTCTTCCTGATCAAGTGTGCTCTGCTGATAATTGAGAGTGCAAACCTTGATAGCCTCCAATTAGCACTGATGCGATTCCAGGGAAAACTTACTCCCTGTTCCTTGCCAGTTATAGAAAAACATTTTGGTTGAAAAGAGGTGTGCCACAGAACTCTGTTCCTTGAGTTCATTTACTTTTCTCTTGCTTCTTGGATCACAAGACAGGGGTGAGCCACACGCCCTTATTACAAGCCATATAAAGTACCTCACATATATTATCTCATTTTGTCCTCATGATAACGTTGCAAAGAGGGCAGGCAAGTATCACTATGCCCATTTTACAGATAAGAAAACTGAGTCCCAAATAGCTTTGCAACTTACTTAAGGAACCACCAGTAATAAGCACCAAGTAAGGACTAGAAAGCAGATACTCTTTTTAGTAATTACCCTCTTTCTTGGACAGTAGCCAAGACTGCTCTACCTAGAGCTTACTGCAGTGGAATTTCTGCCCCCCAACACAATTCGTTTATTCATTCAATCAACAAACACTTGCAGTGAGTATGAATTCGGGGCCTCAAAATTCAGATCTGCAAAACAAAGGTAGATTTATTTTTAAACTTCAAGTAAATTCTCTCTTGGGTCCTCATTCCTCCTGGTGGCAGAAACTTGTCAATTCTAGGTTTTCTCTGCCAGCTCAGGGAATTTCCCCCTCCTCCCTTTTCTTCTGTAGTTGTATATAAGTTCAGGCCATTGGAAGGTTTGTGTGTGTGTGTGTGTGTGTGTGTGAGTGTGTGACAGTGTGTGTGTTATGGAGATGGTAGATACATATGGCCTTCTGGGGTCTTGTTACTCTGATTGCTGTTGAAATGTGTGGCCCATCTGGTCTTGCAACATTTGGAAGTATTTGGTAAATACTAGCACTTATTGCTATATGATTTTTTAAAAACCCTGCTCTTGAGGCATCTGTAGAACTGCTGGCTTGCCTTCTTTCATCTAGCTTCTGTGTCCTCCTTGTAAGTATGAGAGACACTTGACTGCCCTCCTGAGCTACTCTGAGGATTTGGGGGAATTTCATAGGACTGTCTCAGGCCTCTTGGTCTAGCCTTGTCATATGTCCTTTTTATTCAAAGCTTCTCTCTCCTACCCTATTGTGTGTGGGAGTGGGGAGAGGAGACTGTTTTCCCACCTCCTCAGGTATCACCTTGTGTGAGGCATAGATCTCCTCTACCCCTGGATCTACCAAACCAACCTGGGGTGTATCTCATTTCCCTGACTACACACATATCCCCTCACCCTGGCCTTACCCAAGGGAAGGAGGGAGGGTGGGGTGAGGGGCATAAACAGGGACATTCTCCATCATCCAAGTGTCTGCTCTGCTGTCCAATGCTCTCCTCTAGAGCAGGTAAATTTTACTTCCTCTGGGTCAGGGGGTGGGATGGAGGTGGGGAGGAAGGATTAGCCCAGCAAGTATTCATCCAAATTTATTATCTCTGCCAGGAGCTCAGCTTTTGAAGGTCAAAAGCTATGAGTTAACTATTTTTATTCTCTCTTCCTTGAAGCAGTAAAGGTGGAATGTCTTAGCTGTCTAGGCTGGGGGACGAGCAATGGGGTACACATAACTCTGTGTGTGTGTGTGTGTGTGTGTGTGTGTGTGTGAGAGAGAGAGAGAGAGAGAGAGAGAGAGAGAGAGAGAGAGAGAAGCTGTTAATGCCTCATAATATTACCCTGAGTTTTGTCATTTTTGCCTAACATGTTCCAGATTCTCTGCCAGATGGGGAATATATACCCTGAGTTTTGTCATTTTTGCCTAACATGTTCCAGATTCTCTGCCAGATGGGGAATATAGAGGTGAGCAGGCTATATCCCTTGCCTAAGATGTTTACAGCCTAGTGAGAAAGGCAGAGACAAGGAGGTTGGCCCTAAGACGAGATGCAGGCTGAGAGTCGTGTGCGCTATTTAAACCAGCGTAGTGTGCTGGCTGATTGGAAAGATGTATAAGGTGCCACTGGTACCCTTTCCCGAAGACCCAAGCAAAGACTTTACAATTCTACAGTTTCCCTGTTATCCAAGCTATTTGGTGCTCACCACTTTGGGTAACTGATCTGAACTAAGATGTAAGTGGAAAGCAAAAGGAAAATTAATAGTAAAACAATTATAATTTTGTATCTATGATCTCACAGGACCTTCTCCACCTCCGTGAGAGCTTGTAGGGTTATCTCCACGTGGCCCATATACAGCCAGGGTTACTTAATAGCATCTTCTAGGTACCACTGCAAGCTGAGAAACATTAATTTGGCATTATGAAATAATTTGACGCCGGACCCAGCTTCCGGTTCTGGTGGGCATTTGTCTGTTGGCTGTTGTGCTACGTGTCTTTGGCTTGTGAGCGGATGGTGGGCAGGCATCATGGATCAGGTAATGCAGTTTGTTGAGCCAAGTTGGCAGTTTGTGAAGGACTCAATTCGGCTGGTTAAAAGATTCACCAAACCTGATAGAAAAGAATTCCAGAAGATTGCCATGGCAACAGCAATAGTATTTGCTATAATGGGATTCACTGGCTTTTTTGTGAAATTGATCCATATTCCTATTAATAACATCATTGTTGGTGGCTGAATACCTTTGTAGAAAAGTGTTTTTCATCTTGTGGATTGGTGAACAAGTAAGGATTTGAGACGCTCATGGAGTAAAAATTTGCCTATATGTTTTGTGTTTTTCTTTCATTTTTTTTCTTCCAAGATGTTTTCTATTTGTAAATTAAAATAATTTCAAAATACATAAAAAGCGGTAATTTCAACTTTTACTTCTGTTTCTCAAAAAAGCCTAAAAGAGAGTATGTTCATTACATAGAGCAAATTCCCTCCTCTTCTTTCATCTTCTCTTTTCTCCTTCTCTCTCTTCCTCTTCCCTTCCTATTTGTCCTATCTATCTGTCTGTCTATCTATCTATCTACCTATCTATCCATCCATCCAGCTATCCATCTATCATCATCTATCATCCATTCATCTGTCTCATGGCCAGCTTTGCTCTTTTCCCAGTCCAAATTCCCACCCCAGATCTCTCACCCTGAGCTGGCATAGTCTTTTGGAAAAAAAAATAAACATTTTCAACCATTTCCTGTTTTAGTTTCCTCTCTTGCTCTTTCTCCTTTTCTTTTTCCTCTCCTTCCAGTCTAGTAGCAACCTGTCCTTTTAAATACAAATCTAAATATTACTGTAGCTACATATTATAGATCTAGAAAAAAGTCTGGTGAAGACAGAACCATCCTTAGCGCACTGGGGGTGGAGGTCGGGGTGATGGGTTGATGGGAGAGGCAGAGGGAGAGCCAAGGAAGCAAAGACCGTTTTCCTTAGTGGATGGAGAAGGTGATGTATTATTATTTGCAAGTCTATATTTTTGATCCCTGTCAAACTCTTTTACAGATGGAGAAACTGAGGCCTGGAGAATAAAATAAGCTGCCCAAGGTCGCACAGCTGGTAAGGGACAGAGCTGTGGTTTAAATCCAGATCTTTGACATTAAGTGTTCTTCCTACTCACAAGTGGAGTGAATTCCCGGTTTCTCCCATAATTCAAATGAGAGGAAAATTCAAATAACAAAGATTCTCTCCCCACCCCTCAAAAGTAGTAATGGAGAGGACAGTTAATGGAAAAAAGATGCCAGGTCTAGCATGAGAACTATGGTTTGTTGGTTCCTTGATATGGAGATGGTAATGGCCACCCACTGCCAGAAGGGAGGCAAGAACCAGGAGAGGCAACAAGATGGAGGGAGTTGAAGGCCTTGTGAATTAACAGTATTGGAATTACATGGGTTCCGAAGTTTGTGTTTTAAGTGTCAGCCACAGGGAAACCTGAGAGATCTGGGTTACTGCTGAAGAAAAATATGTTACACAGTGAGAATAGAAAAACCCAGTACTGTTTCCTGATTACTGTATTGTATAGTATATGGACCTTTTAAAAACATTAAAGCGTATAGCAGAAAGTGAGCAGCCCATGTAATAGCCCAGCTCACACACCCATAAAAGTCATAAGAAAATCTTCATATTTTTTCTATACAAATACTAATATGGTGGTAAAATAGCAGGATATCATTCACAATCTGTATGAAATCTTGCAATCATATAGGTTCCTTTACCTGTACGCCTTTATGTTATAGGTATTGTGGTGATTATATCTACATACATTGAAAACCCCATCAGACAACTCTGTCATTACTGCTTTAAACAGTCATACGTATTTTAAGGAGCTTAAGAGATGAAAATTAGTATCCATTTACTCAGATTTTTACCATTTTTGTTGTTTTTCTTTCATTCTTAAAGTTGCAAGTTTCTCTCTGGTATCAGTTTCCTTTCGCCTAAAGAATTTCCTTTAGCATGTATTTTAGAATCTGTCTACTGGTTACAAATTCTTTTAGATTTCCTTCATTTGAGAATGTCTTTATTTCACCACTTTCATTCCTGTAAGATATTTTCACTGGATATAGACTTCTGGGTTGACACTTGTTTTCTTTCAGCACTTTTAAAGATGTTCAACTGTCTTCTGGACTCCATGGTTTATGATGAGAAATCAGTAGTCATTTGAATTATCTTTCCTCTAAAAATAATGTGTTGTTTTCCTCTAGACTCTTTCAAGATTTTAAACTATTTTTTTCTTGGTACTTAATAGTTTTATTATGATGTGTCTGGGCATGGTTTTCTTTGACTTTATCTTGATTGGGCTTTACTGAGTTTCTTAGATCTGTAAATTGATGTCTTTCACCAAATTTGGGAAATTTGGGCCATTATTTCTTCAAATGTTTTTATGTACCAATATCTATTATTCTGGGACGCCAATGGCATGAATGTTAAACATTTTGATCTTGTCCCACAGATCTCCATGGCTCTGTTCATTGTTTTTCAGTCTTTAGTCCCTCTATTATTTAGATTGGATAATTCCTATCCATCTGTTTTCAAGTTCACTGACTCTTACCTCTATCATGTCCATTCTGCTATTGAGTCCATCTAGTAAATCTTTTATTTCAGATTATATATTTTTCAGTTTTAAAATGTCCCTTTTAAAATAGTTTCTATTTCTCTGCTGAGAATGTTTATCTTTTCATTCATTTCAAGACTATTCTCCTTTATCTTATGGACCATCGTTATGATAACTACTTTAACATCTTTGCCTGATAATTCCATCATCTGGATCATCTAGGAGTTGGCATCTTTTGTCTTTTCCCTTGAAATTTTCTTCTTTTGTGTATGCTGGGTAATTTTGGATTGTATTCTGAACATTTAAAATATTATGTCATGAGACTCTGTGACCTATTAAAACCCTCTGGCGAATGTTGATATTTATGTTTCAGCAGACCTTATTAGGTTCAGACTGCAAAATCTGTATCCCCTTCTGTGGGTGACTTTTCCAATGATAGTTTTCAAACTGTTGCTATGGTGTTTTGGGTCTGTCCCATGTTTGTGCTACTTAGGGGTTAATCTGAGACTTGAGTGGTGGTTTAAATCATAATTCAGTTCTCAAAGACTTTTCCATGGTGCTTTGTATCTGTCTTGTGCATTCACAGCTCAGAGTCAAGTCTGGGCCTTGTGTAGGTTTATACACAGAATTAGAAAATTCCTTTTTCTGGCTCTTTCCTCTCCAGGGTTCTTCTCTGTGATCTAGCCCATAGAGGACTCATGATCCTCTGCTCAGAAAGATGGGGTTTTACTTAGGGTTTTATCTGTCTGTATCCTTGCTGCTATAGCACCCCTCCATGACTGGGACCCACCCTCAGGGCAAAGAAGCAAGAGAAAAAAAGAGAAAAAGAAAACAGGGATTCCTCACATACTTCTGGGAGTGCAGGGGCCTCTTTCCCCAATTATCCTCGTCAGAGAAACAGAGTTCCTATTGGAGTTTCAGCTGCCTGCACTGCCACCACACAGTTCCATGACTGGGGCTTGTCTTCAGGTCAAACCTGGGGAGCTCATCCCTGGACAGGTTGCTGCTGTAATTGTTTACTTCCCTTCTTGTCTCTTCTGTTTACTTTTCAGAGTCCTCAGGTAGTTGCTTTTTATATCTTGTACATTGTTTTTAGTTGTAATTAGAGAGAGGTAGGCTATTGTGGGCTTCATCCATCTTGTGTGGCACCAGAAATTCTTATAATCCTTTTAAAGTTTCATCTTTTTACTTTTAAATCTTTGCTCCTTCTGGAATTAATTTTGATGTAAGGAGTAATGTACACTCTTATTGTTGTTATTATTATTATCCTAGGAAATCTTTGGTAGGTGAATAAATCAGGAGCCGTAGTGGAAAGACCATGGGATTAGCAGTTGCATCAGTCTGGGTTCAAATGACTCCATCACTTACAAGTTCGTGACCTTGGGCATAACCTCCCTAATCTCAGCTTCCTCATCAGTACAGTAAGGATAATGACTAGTATCTGCTTCACAGAGTTGCTGTGAACATTAAATGAGATAATGCTAGTGAATTATTTTGCATGGGATCTGGCACTTAGTAGGGGAATTAATAAATGTCAGTTATCGTGACTATGATGATGGTGATAAGTATTGTTGTCATATAAGTAACAAGACAAAGTCATTACACTTGAGAGTCAGGTGCACTGAAGGCTTAGGGGGATGTTACTTAGTCACAGTACATATGTCAAATCATATAGAAAGCTGCTCTCTGTCCCAGAACATGTGTGAGGTCTGAATCAGTGACATGGATTTGAGTTTGTAGGATAAGGAAATGTGACTGGGAGATGGAGAATGTTATAGGTAACACATTCATAGCTCCCTCAGTTAATGTTTGTAGACAAGGAAAATGAAGAATCCTACATTTTAGAAAATGGTGTTTTTCAAATTGGAATCAGAATCATCTGGTCTACTTGTTAAGATGCAGATTCTTGGGCCCCACTCCTGACCTAAGAAATTAGAACTGTGGGCAGGGCCTGGGAATATGCATTTAGCAGGCTCCCCAGGTAATTCTTTTTTTAAAATAAATAAACAAAGAAACAAATAATTAATTAATTTATTTATGGCTGTGGCGGGGGACTCGCTCACTGCCAGCAGCCTGGCAGCCCAGTCACTCCATCTCTCCATTTCTCGGCTTGTCTTCTATTTGTGTTTTGCTCCATTATTTCAACTTCTTCCAGATGGCTGGGAATCCAAGTACCACCATCTCTACAAACACATCCTTTAACTTACAATCCAAGGGAGAAAAGGCAGAAACCCTAGGGCAGGGCTTTGATTGGTCTGGTTCAGGTCACATGTCTGTCCCTGTGGCTAGAAGTCAGGGTACTGCAGTTGAAACTGAAACCATGCACCTCAGATCGGGACTTGAACCCATGCGGCCGGGACTCGAACCCACCCAAAACCCACAGTCTTCCAACTGAGATCACACGCCTGGTTTCAGGACTTAATGAATTTCAAGTTCGTGATGTCTCATTGCAGAAAGAATTCACTGAGGGGCAAAGTGATAGATAAGAAGTGGATTTATTTAGAGAGAAACACACTCCACAGACAGAGTGTGGGCCACCTCAGAAGGTGAGAAAGGCACCAGGGTATGGGGTTGTCAGTTTTTATAGGAGTGGGTCATTTCATAGGCTAATGAGTGGGGGGAGTATTCCAGTTATTTTAGGAAGGGGCGGGGATTTCCAGGAGTTGGGCCACCGCCCACTTTTTGATCCTTACAATAGGTCTT